CAGGCTTATTCCGGCATGACTTACTTTTTGCCTGTTTTCGCTTCTCCATCACTACTGTACATGCGAGGTTGGCCCGTCTTGGATCGGCATACCGACGTCATCCATATAAAGTGGGGATGTTCTCAAGACGTGTCAACAAGACGTGTCGAAGGGAAGAATATTAGCACTCCATTTTATACTTCCATATATTTCTACCAAGCCTTCACTAGAATCTAGCTTTAAATATATAGATTACGTTATAGCCAAGTCGCGGTATTAGGTGCTACTAGCTACACTTCGAATGAAGGCAACATTCCTTGACAATAGGAATGGTCTAAATCACAGGACAGGAAGCAATAGATGTCAATGTATTGGTAGATGATGGATGGGGAGAGAGCGAGAGACTCGGTACGCGAGCTCTCTGGCTATCTAATGCTCAGTTCCATCTAAGTCCCGTGACCTCAGGTCTCGACAACATCCCTCCTTCCCCAACACCGCCAAAGTGCCATTCTACCATCAGTCTATAATTATGCCCTATTGCCATACTCGGAAACAATCACCTTGAAGGTGAAGGTTCCTAGAACTCCATAGGTTTTGGTCACGTTTCGATCATCAGTTAACCCCTCCAGGGGGTTGGATTGGCGGTACATGCCGACAACAGCTCTCTGTCTGTCTCTTAGCGTTTTGTACAGAGTAAGCTGCCTAGATTCACACTGCAGCATCAGCATGTAGCCTACGTCTTTTAGAGATACCCTATTTTCCACTTTTCCTCTACTAGGAACGTGGTTTGAAGAACACAGTGGGCGAGTGCAAGAAGCCCGTAGACGGTTCCCTGGACTGGTGAGCCCGTCTACTGCCATAAAATCACCTTGAGCTAAGTTTAAGCACAAGAACATCTCTGAATGTGTAGGTAAGGGACGTTGGGCAATGTTAACATTAGTAGCACAACACTGATGTCTTTTACCGAAGGCGGGTAAAAGTGCGCGATGTACCCGGGGCTAGAATGCGCCTCTGCCGAGGTTCCGACCGCCCATGGCGCTGTTCATGAGATGGTGGCGCCTTTGAAGGTTCATAGCATAGCGCCACAGACATGGTGTCTACAAGAAATACGCACAGATGTTAATTAACATGCATCTTTGACTCAAACCAACCAAGGAAAGCATTCTTGGGGGTGATGATCGGGTAAATGATGTGAGTTCTTGGGGACGCCTACCGCCGGAGTATTACCTTTTTGATTGCCTGGGGAAGTCCTGCTATTTGTCTGACATTTGCTCACGGACCGACTGTTTCTTGACTGTTTCTTGGTTCTCTTTATCCTGTTGACACTGAGCTCCGAAATGCGTTAATTTAGAGGACTTAACACATGAGTTGATCCGAGTCACTATCTCGCTGGCGATAAAATCAGTGCAAGAGACAATTTCTCTTGCGACGGTGATACAGTCGATATACCCGCATACACGGGCAGATAATAACTTACCTGCTCCCACAACAACGGGCGTCAAGTGGATTGCATTTGGAAAAGACACCCAGGTAGGAGTCTACATCACAATACTAGTTACCTTCAGGACTTCAGATCTCATCATTAGACCACAGACCTATGAATGTGGTATTGCCGCCAGCTCAACCCCCTCCTACTCAGCTGGCAGGTTGTATTTCTGGGAGATGACTTGCTGGGCCAAGGAGAACTCGGATCAAATGCAGTGGTTTTCCTACCTTCGCTTCTCCAGAATTTGGCATGAGGGAGCATGGACAACATCTATCAGAACCTTGAAAATATTGGTTTAACGGAAAAACGTTGATGGGCTTGACGTGCGCGCTACCTTAAGTTAGAAATGGATTTCTAGGTCTTTGTACGCATCGCTTAGGGGTTCCAACACAGCATATCTTTTTCAATAGAAGGGTCATGACGTAGACCATCTAACGGATGCTTTTCCCGTGGCCCTTTGTCCGCCAATGCAAGTGTCTCAATAACGCGCACACCACGGAAGATTAGTAAGGCTCTGGTAACGGCTAATGCACAAAACCATCCCTAATTACCAGCTACGATGGCCAGCCAGTTATCGCCTAGTGCTATGGTGCAGAGAGATGTTCGCAAGGGTCATAATTTTGTGCCTCGAAGGTAAGATCAGCCGTGCAAAGTGCTATGCAATATCAAAACTTCTCTTTTGGAAGACAGCGTACATATGGATCCGATGTGATAGTTACATGCTGAAGCTAAACAAATGAGCGTAGAAGGAATATTCAAGTATCTGTGGCAACCAAAATGACTCTCAGTCTTTCTCCAGGTTGATGCATGGATTTACGAAGAACTGCCGAAAGTGTATTCGGGGATCTCGATGGTACCAATGGTCCAGGTCTTACCACCATCGATGGTCGACATGCTTCCAGAGACACCGGCTCCCTTGCTCATAGTGTTGATGTAATCAGGATCGGCGACATCCAGGATAATCTTGGCGTTGATCCAAGCTGTAGGAGGAAATGGATTAGTTCGGTGGGTGATAAATGGCGTCCAGTCGCTATTTGAAACTTACAGTGAGCGGGCATGGTGCCACAGTTGTCTGCGGCGCACTCAACAGCGCTGCCCCAGCCCTGGGCTTTTCCATCACTGGTAGACAGAGTAGAAACGGTCTTGTCGTTGACAAGAACTGTTTGGGTATAGTTGCCTGTGGAGTCGTCGAATTTGTCTGTGAACTAAGTTTAGCATTTCGAACCAATGTTTTATCTCGACTATTGCATTGCACTTACAATGCATCGTCACCTTATCTCCAGCGGTGGCGGTAGAGGAATCCCCCTGAACAGGCATCTGGGTGGTGGCTAAAGAAAACATGAGATAAATTTACTGCTTTTAATTAGAAATTTGGATTCAAGACTAACCACTAGTCGACAAGAGGGTGTAGGCAAAGATACTCCAGTCACTAGATTCCCAGTTATCGGCGATAGATTGAATCAAATCGCCGTTAGAGGTGCCCATTCCGACCCAGAGGGAGGCATCTCCAGAGCTTCCGCTAGGAACCTTGGGTAGGACCAGAGTCGCGGTCGATTCGCGAATAAAGGAGTTGTCTGATACTGGACCAGTGCTGAAGGCAGGGCCCATAGCAGCGTTCACAGATATAACCGCCGTTACGGCGAGGACAGATATAGCCTGGTTAAAGGAAGGCATCGTGGCAAATGTAATTTTAGGTGTCTGAAGATTTAACTTAGTTGCGCTCACATCATTGAAACAGAACCGCGAGCAGCTTTATAGTCCTCCTAGCAGGCACCACAGGCACCTCCTTTTAGCAGAAAAGCTATTTCTTTCCGTGCATACTGGAGGGATATAACCCTTAATCAAAATATTGCATAAAGTGCACCACTCAAAAATTGGCTTCATAGCATTCATAAGCTAAATAGGAAAAATTGCCGTCCGACTAGCGCGATATGGTAGGTGGTGGGCCGGGCTGTATGCCCTATGGGGTATTCTAAAACAACCAGCTAATTTATCCCCTAAGGCTAGTGTTGCAGACACAGACATTAGCATCAGTGGCTTTTGATCCCCCAGACGCCATAGAAGCAAATCATTTTCGGAGCAGTTCGACAATATCAGATAAGTCATGGTTAAAGATTGCTGTTTAACAAATAGAAGCGAATTGAGCGAGAGGTGTGCTTGAAACGTACCAGGTACGGAGATGAAACGATTCCTTCCTCGGCATTGTATGGTTTCTGGTGGAGTTATTATGTCTCATTCTGTGACATCCTAACAGATCGGAACAGGTTCTGCTTTAAACTCTGTGACTTATTGCCACCTGTACCCCTACGCACGTGAACTATTTTCTGGATTTTGCCATTCAACGCTCCTGTGCGTAATGCTGCTCCACAACATTAATTCACCAGTCTTGTGTTGCTCGCGGTCGCTGGTTACCTCTCTAGAGCTCTCCAGCCATCGCAATGCTTCGCCTGACGCTTAGCTTATTTACCAACCCCCGCTCGAAATACGCCCTTGCTCGCGCTGCAGCGTTTCGATGCTACAACCTCGTCCAATGGTCATATAAATTTACCACGAAAGAACGTAACTAATTTGTCTTGAGACACTCGACGACACTAAGTGCTTTCACCTTGATCTTTCACTCATTTGCCAGAGACACGTTTCTAGATACCACTGAAACTGCCTATGGTGGGATACTTGCTCAATCAGAAAGACAACTTTCAATGACGAACAATTTCCACCTCAATTTGTACATCTTCTAGGCTCCGCGGTCTACCTTCATTAACATGTATTAACATACATATTCAGCCAATGGTCAAATTTCTTTACTTATACTTTGCCTCCCAATTACTTTTTCATTGTTTCCGGGCCGATGCGCGCGTCTCGCGCGTCTTTCAGTATATGACTAGAGTGGTTTCGGGTACGGGCCGAGAAACAATGCATGGGTCCGGAGGGGAATCTCTTCTCGGGGACAATGAGCACTCACGACCGACCGAGAGTGGTTAAATCTGAGTGTGGTAGACCAAAATTAAGATGTTTTGTGTTGGATTTTCAGTGGATCGTATCTGACCAGATTGGTCTTAGCCTACCCGGAGATAGGTGGAGCCAAAACCTAGGGCGGTGAGGCCAATTATTGATTCTGAACGTTTTGCACCCACCACACTGTCGGCTGCCGTAGTACCGTGGGAATCTCGATGTGGCATGTAAACAATAAACCTTACGGCGGGAATACAATAGAATTCTCCAGCGTGCATGTTGGGCAGTTTTTCCAGATTAAAGATAACTCCAAGGTAAGTGTAGAACGGGTAGCAAGTTGAAAGAGGGTGCGAAGGGCGGAGTTGGTGTGCTTACTAGGCACGGCTTGATGTAACGTGTTCTTTGGTCTGGTTGACCGTACACGATAATTGGTCTACACAGTTCAGCCGCGCCACTAGGAGGGAGGAGGTCCAGTTTTGCCCAGCGAAAAGTACAATCTCTCCCCTTTCCATAGAAGCTGGGGTTGCAGCAGCAAAATCTATGGGAATTGCCAACACGGTGTTATTTGTGAAATACTTTCGAGATGCATCGTTTAAGAGGGTTGAAGGACCGGCTTTCCCAAAGGTCGAAGAAGCCTCACAATGGAAAATCCCAACTCAGTCAAACCGAGATGCATGCCGACCGTCCATCTGTTGCTCCAGTATCCGCCTCAACCTCAGCCAGCCAGACTAGCGTAGCTCAGTCCCAATCCGAAGACTCTCGCTCCCCCAAAGACTTGTGGCAGTCCGCCTTTGATCAGCTAGATCAGAACGAACAGGATGTTTTGCTGCAAAGAAATATTTCTACGTCGAGCAACAAAGATGACGAGAATCACTTACGAACGACGCGATTGATTAATGAGGTTATCAAATTAACGAAGGAGCGATACGAGGAATACCAACAAGGAGGCATCAAGATAAGGAGATCGACAGGGGAAGATATCGACCTTCGAAAAGTGTCACGGAAAATCATCGATGCTGCGCTCTCGTTCAAGGACATCATTAATGCGGGGGTAGCCTTTGATCCCACGGGTCATGCAGCAAGCGCGTGGGCGGTTGTGTCACTTGGATTAACTGTAAGTCTTGAAAATAATGTAGAGAACAGCGAAGCTAATGTGTGGTCTGAGCTATAGATGGCTAAGAACCACTCTGACTTGCAAGAGGCGATTTTTGACTCTTCGGAGTACCTAGCAGATGTCCTTGCCCGATGTGCGTATGTTGAAAGGAATTTCTACCGCAGCAACTCTGGAGAATGCGTCATGGTAGAAGTTGCAACTATCGGGACCTACAAAGCAATTCTTCAGTACGCAGCAGAAGTACTGGTCGGCCAAAACTATGGCAGGGGAAGGCGGATCCTGGGCAGTCTCACCTCAATTACTAGTCAGCGCCTCAAAGAGCTTCAAACCTCAGTTAAGCAGGAAGAGCAGAAGTTGTACCAATGGGTTCAGTTAGATCAGCATCTACAGCACGGGGAGGAGGCCAAAAGTATCCTGGCTCAATTGGATGAGATGTCAAAATCCATTCAAGCCATTGCCCAGAGTTTCAGTCTTCCTATTGCAGAAGGAGCATTTTGGAACTCATATATGGATCAACATGAAACCTTTTGTCTTGATGATACCAGAACCGAGCTCCGCAGCCAAATCTCCGAATGGGCCGAATCATCTGAGAGCAAATGCATCTTTTGGTTGAATGGCATGGCCGGCACCGGAAAGTCTACTATCGCCCGAACGATGGCAAAATCCTTCAACGGCAAGGGACAACTGGGAGCCAGTTTCTTCTTCAAAAAGGGCGAAGCAGACCGTGGAAATGCTAGAAGATTTATACCAACCATTGCCAAGCAATTGATACTCCATAATCGTCAGCTGGCATCTGGTGTTCTTAGGGCAATTGAGAACGATCCAGATATTTCCGCGAAAGCTTTCCAGGAGCAATTCAAGAAACTCCTTCTCCGGCCACTACAAAATCTGCCACCGAACCAAACCAGCGCGATGGTGATTGTGATCGACGCATTGGATGAGTGTGAGAAGGCCGAAGAGATAACCACCATCCTTGAACATTTGCCACAAATACAGCAATCTACAGGCATGAGATTGAAAATCTTCCTGACGAGCCGACCGGAAAACCCAGTTCTATATGGATTTCAGAAAAATAAGGCCCACCAAGATCTAGTTCTACATGAGATCCCCGAGCTAGTGATTGAACATGATATAGCTTTGTTCCTAAAGGACCGATTCGCGAAAATCCGCAAGTCAAGGGATCTTCCAAAAGACTGGCCTGGAGATGAAAAGATTGAAACCCTGGTTACTATGTCAGTCCCGTTGTTCATTTCTGCCGCTACAGTGTGCCGATTCGTTGAGGACGAGATGTTTCCCCCGACGGTACGCCTTGACGAACTTCTGAAGGACCAAGCCAAATATGTAACGAAAATGGACAAAACCTACTTGCCCATTCTATCACGGCTCCTAGATGACCGAGACGATGAGGATGCAGAGAACCTAGTGCAGCAATTCCGAGAGATAGTCGGTGCCATCATTCTTCTTGCAGTTCCTCTCTCATCTAATGCACTCTCGCATTTGCTTGGAATCCAAGTAGACACCACGAGCAATCTTTTGCGTTCGTTCCGGTCGGTTCTTAGTATACCTGGTCACCAAGATTTACCAGTTAGGATTCTGCATCTATCATTTCGCGAATTTCTCCTGACCACGAAAGCGCGCTTCTATTTGAATGAGGAGGAGACGCATACGAAAATAGCGTCACATTGCCTTCTCGTCATGGACAAGAAACTCAAACACAATATCTGCAATCTACAGAGCTATGGAGCACAGCGCATGGAAATAGACAGCCAGGCCATCGAGCAATGTATTTCGGCGGAGCTCAAATACTCCTGTCGTTACTGGGTGTATCATCTGGAGCGGAGCCATGTTCATGTCTCTGAGATAGAGGTTTTAGCATTTCTCAAAAAGCATCTCCTTCACTGGTTGGAAGCAATGAGTCTAATGGGGATTATATCAGAGGCTGTCGGGATTATAGACAGACTGCAGTTAGGTATTAAGGTGAGTGCCTGCACGATCAATATTTGAGGGGTGACTAATGTTAATAACGCAGAGCAACATGGGCACTGAGCTTTCACGGTTTTTATACGACGCCAAGCGCTTCATCCTGAAGAATATTCACATGGCAGACAATGCGCCACTGCAACTTTATTGTTCAGCACTGATATTTTTACCTATGGAAAGCATTGTCAGAAAGGTGTTCGAAGGGGAACGACCCAGGAGGATACGCATCCTATCAGAAGTACAGAGAGCATGGAGCGCGGAGTTACAGACCCTCGAGGGCCATTCAAATTGGGTCCAGTCTGTGGCCTTCTCCCCGGACAGCCAAATGGTGGCCTCAGGCTCGGCAGATGGCAGCCTCAAACTCTGGGATGCCAGGACGGGGACGGACCTACAGACACTCGATTGCCATTCAGGCTTGGTCTTTTCTGTGAATTTTTCCCCGGATAGTCAAATGGTGGCCCTAGGCTTAAGTGATGGCACCGTCAGGCTCTGGGACGCTAAGACGGGCAAAGAACCACAGACGCTCGAGGGCCATTCAAATTCGGTCGAGTCTGTGGCCTTCTCCCCTACCAGCCAAATACTGGCTTCAGGCTCATATGATCGCACTATCAAGATCTGGGATGCTAAGACGGGCAAAGAGCTACAGACCCTCGAAGGCCATTCAAATTGGGTCCAGTCTGTGGCCTTCTCCCCGGACGGCCAAATGGTAGCCTCAGGATCAGATGATAGCACTATCAAGCTCTGGGATGCTAAGACGGGCAAAGAGCTACAGACGCTCGAGGGACATTCAAATTGGGTCCGCTCTGTGGCCTTCTCCCCGGACAGCCAAATGGTAGCCTCAGGCTCAGCCGATCGCACCATCAAGCTCTGGGATGCTAAGACGGGCAAAGAGCTACAGACCCTCGAGGGCCACACAGACTGGGTCCGCTCTGTGGCCTTCTCCCCCGACGGCCAAATGATAGCCTCAGGATCAGATGATAGCACTATCAAGCTCTGGGATGCTAAGACGGGCAAAGAGCTACAGACGCTCGAGGGACATTCAAATTGGGTCCGCTCTGTGGCCTTCTCCCCGGACAGCCAAATGGTGGCTTCAGGCTCAGAAGATAGCACCATCAAGCTCTGGGATGCTAAGACGGTGGAAGAGCTACAGACGCTCGAGGGCCACTTAAATTCGGTCCAGTCTATGGCCTTCTCCCTGGACAGCCAAATGATGGCCGTAGGCTCGAATGACGGCATAGTCAAGCTCTGGGATGCTAAGACGGGCAAAGAGCTACGTATCCTCGAGGGCCATTTAGGTTGGGTCCAGTCTGTGGCCTTCTCCCCGGACAGCCAAATAGTGGCGTCAGGCTCGAATGATGACACCATCAAGCTCTGGGATGCTAAGACGGGGAAAGAGCTACAGACGCTTGAGGGACATTCAGATTGGGTCCGCTCTGTGGCCTTCTCCCCCGACAGCCAAATTGTGGCTTCCGGCTCAGATGATAGCATAGTCAAGCTCTGGGATGCTAAGACGGGGAAAGAGCTACAGACCCTCGAGGGCCATTCACATTCGGTCCAGTCTGTGGCCTTCTCCCCGGAAAGCCAAATGGTGGCTTCAGGCTCAGATGATAGCACCATCAAGCTTTGGGATGCTAAGACGGGCAAAGAGCTACAGACGCTCGAGGGCCATTTACAATGTTCGGTCCGGTCCGTGGCCTTCTCCCCGGACGGCCAAATTCTAGCTTCAGGCTCGACTGATAGCATAGTCAAGCTCTGGGATGCTAAGACGGGCAAAGAGCTGCGGATCCTCGAGGGCCATTTAGGTTGGGTCCAGTCTGTGACCTTCTCCCCGGACGGCCAAATGGTGGCCTCAGGCTCGAACGATGGCACCATCAAGCTCTGGGATGCCAAGACGGGCAAAGAGCTGCAGATTCTCGACGACGATTCGGAATTGGTCCATTCTGCGCCTGGTCAAACTCCATATAAGCCCAACACTCAAGTTTCCTTAGCAGATGGTTGGATGACCTTTGGGGGCCAGAAACTGATACGGCTCCCCTTAGAGTATCGTCAATTCAGCTGCTCAGCTACTAAAGATGGTACTCTTGCTCTCGGATACGATGACGGGAGGGTTTTCATTGTTGCTTTCCGGACGGATTAACCCTTGTCGTAGTAAGCTTACTCTTGATTATTTTCTATCCTCATTCAAATCACAGCATATGGGATGGCAGGGCACTTCATATAATTTGATTCGGCGCTCTGAATCTCTTAGACATTTACCTCATTTAACGCTATTTATAAATATGTGGCAGCAGTTGCCACATGGCCGGTTGGGATCCTGAGGCTTCCAAAGACGGTCTTGCCGTGTATTGACAAGACACGTAATCCCCACAGTGTTCGCTATTTTCTTGCTCTTAGCAGTACATAGATTACACAAATCTAGACTTAATCGCAATATAGACTAGCGGCTCCACTGTGACGCCGAGAAAGAGTGACGCCGAGAAAGAGTCAAAGAGAGTAGATTATGTAGAAGCCGATCCTGTCGGCTACTGTAGTATCTAGTGCCATCGCATTCGCGGCCCTTGCAATCCACGTCGGGAAGTCCGTTCAGACAATGCAAGACTACTGGGATGCAATACGCGATGCTCCTGATGATCTCAAGTGGCTAGTACGAGAGATTGAAGTGTTCGGCTCCATAATGGCTGATGTCGATGTGACGCATGACAGTCGGATCACTTGAAGGACTTTGCTAGATAGCTGGATAGGGAAGGCGGTGAGACCAGGGGTCCGATATGATCGGACGAGGAGAGGGTAGATATAATAGTTCTTGGCGTCTCTCCTGTTCTCTTTCTCTTCTTCTCTCTAGCTTAGTGTCTTCGATGAATGGACTCTTTTTGATGAAGACTTGCCGACTCACATTACACTAAGCTCTCTTTTCACTCTTTTCATAATCAGCAAGTGCTGTACGGACCTTGTCATCATTTGACACGGATACCGGCCAGTTGGTGATATCCCCACTTCCCGTCTTCGCACGTGCCGAGACCGAACCCGAACTCGAACCCCGACGAAGGACCCCGCCGTCTACGCGGGCGATTCCTTTGCTGACCAAGTTGTAGATCCATACATCATAACTTTACTTTCCTCAATTTGGAAAGACCGATCTTGAGCATAAAATCTAAGATAAGGCAGATTGTCTGATTTTATGTCTTGCTACAGTATTGGGGATCCAAAAGAACTAGAATTTTCCATAGCAATGCACACAAGCCAAACTCCAAGGCCTGAGAGGACCTTCAGAATTTTGCGAGGTGTCATTTCCTTTTGCCACGCCCATGTCCAAGTGACAGTTTAGGGGCTTACTCGGTCTCAGATATCGAAAATAGCGACTTACTACTCCCTTAAAACAACATAAGAATGGCCAACCCAGCTACAGATGAAATTCTGGCCACTGCTGAAATAGTTCTAAAGGAGGTGAAAACAGTCTCCGTCCCTCAGATCCTATTTGCTCCTCGCCAAAAGAGCGCAGATCACCCCACGAAACCCACTCCCATGCAGTGCAGCATCCGGGCTTGAGTATCTGATGTCCGTAAATGACAAGTTAGTACTTTCTAAAAAAAACGTAGCTAGCCATGGGTCACAACATACACCGTCATGGTAATGGCAGGGCGAAAGACAGCCAACTGTATGACGTTACTACCAGAGAAATAGCGATCCGACAAAAGTCATTGGGCGACGAGACACCGCCTCGAACATTCCTTCTCCGTTCTCCGTTATTGCCATTTGGCCCTTGGGCCTCTTGAGCAAGCGCTGCGGAAGAGCGTGAATCGCAAGCGGTGCGGTAGTTGTTGGACAAAGGTGTCGCGTCCTCCCAAAGAGATATGGCGATTGGAAACCACCTCTTGTTTGCTATGCTACAAGGCATGGGATTGGCAAGGGGATAATGTCTCCTACTCTCTCAGGAAGTTTCTATATCAAAACGAGACGTCTAAGGTCGATCTGCTTTGCACTGAGCTGCCTTGATGACCACGCAGAAATTGTGGAGCAGCTGCTTGAACAAAGAGCCATGTGTCCGCAGTAGATTTAAATGGGTCTGTTCTTTCATATTTGGAAGCAGATGGTAGCCCTCCAGCGACGGTCTCTCCTTTTAGAAAGGGGACAAGCCGTATCGGTGGAAGACCAAAAAGGTCTGACCCAAGAAGAGCACGGAACTCTTCTGGGGCGCCTTTCTGCTTCAGTTGCAACCTTAGCTGCGTTGGCCACTCTTCAACGATGGTACTTCACGGCTTGGGAATGATTTTCAAATCGGCGGCGACCCTGGTGAATTCGTGCATCTCCATGTACCTGTGAATCTTGTTAGTGAAATCGGATACCACCAAATATCATAAATATCATGTATAACCCGTATGTGCTAAGTTACCTCTGAAAATCCTTTGAAGATCCATTATAAATGTTCGAGTATCCCATAGTCTCGTCATGTCGGCGTTTAGCTAGTGAAAGCCAATCTGGTCTGGGCAAATAATTCATGAGCAGATGCGTATTTAAGACGGAATCTTTCTCGTCTCCCGCTTTTACAATTTCCATCACTGCATCGAGAAACAATGTGATAAGCGTCGCACTCGGGTTCTGATCGGGCGGCTGAAGAAGAAGTGGTGACAATGCTGCAGGTGTTCCACGTATCCCAAGGTAGCCAGCTTATGGTCGGTGGCAATAATGACTACATCTCGAATGGCTTATCCTTCACAAGTAACAAATCAAAACGTGCCTGCTTGTCCCCAGATCTCAAAACCACGCATCAAGACCTGCCCAGGCCATCAGACCGTCAACTGGCGTCCCGTACGATTCTATAGCCCGCATTGCCGTATGTCTCAGAACAAAAGCCACTTCAGGACTCAAGGCTCCGCTTAGAACTTGACTACGAGATTCTATCATCAGCCTCACTTCTTGCCCTTCTCTCTGCATCTGCTTTCACCATCTCGGGAACTTCGGCCACTTTGGATCGTATCACTACAAGGCCCTGTCGTAAACTTGCCAGGACAGTATTCGATCCATCATCCATCGCGGGCCGGACATGTTGTGCAGTGCTGACTAAAACATAGATTCTTCGCTACCTGGTTCTTTCTGCCACCCAATACCGCTGTGGCGCTGTCTAAAACATAGATTCTTCGCTACCTGGTTCTTTCTGCCACCCAATACCGCTGTGGCGCTGTGCGGTATTGGGTTGCAGAAAGAACCAGATAGCCGCCCCCTACCCGCGAGGGTGGGGGGCGGTCCTGTGACAAGGCTACTTAGAAATGTGGCGAGAGTGCCAAGTTCTTGGCAGCGTAATACAGGCATTTCCTAAGAGTAGGGACCGCTTCGCAGCTCACGTTGCAACTGTAGTATCAACGAGCCGCGCTCTATTGACCCGATTTTTGGGTCTTTAAGATAGGCGACTATAATCATGTGGGATTTGGAAACTTCTCTTCTATCATGAAAGCGGCGTTCCATCGATCTTACGACTTCTTGTCCTGCGCTAGGAAAGCAACACTTGAATTATGGCAGGTGAAACGGGGCCGATCGACGTGTCTCGCCCTATCGCTATGACGATAGCAGCATTTTTCGGCATCACCTGTTATAACGTTCTGGAGATTATGGTCTCCATTTTCATGACCTTTAAGCGTTACCGAGGATTATACTTTTGGAGCATGCTCGTGGCCACCTTAGGCATCTTACTCCATGCTATTGCGGTCCTACTCCGCTTTTTCGCACTTGCCCCTAGCTTCCCTATGGCTGTACTAATTGTCGTCGGCTGGTACGCCATGGTCACAGGCCAATCCGTCGTACTTTATTCCCGGCTGCACCTTGTCGTCAGCGACTACCGTCGGTACCGATGGGTGTTGTATATGATCATCATCAATTTTTGCGTATTACACATTCCGGTGTCCATCCTCTTCTTTGGCAGCGGTCTAGGCCATTCAAATTTCCTCGGCCCGTTCAATGTCTATGAGGATATCCAGCTTGCTGGCTTCTCTATCCAGGAGATCATTATCTCTGGGTTGTATATCTGGGAAGCTTCTCGGGCACTCAAACCGGCTCTCACGCGCGAGGAACGAAGTGGCTATAATGTCATGAAACATTTGATACTCGTCAATATCATTGCCATCCTTATGGATGCTTCGCTCCTTGCGACCCAATATACCAACAATTTCGAAATACAAACAACGTATAAGACCGTCGTCTACAGCGTTAAGCTGAAGATGGAATTCAGCGTGCTGAACCAACTGGTCGCCTTTTTGATGAGAAATCACTACATAAACGAATATGACAGCCAGCAGACTTGTCTGGAGCCAAACAGAGGTGGAATGGAGGTTTTTCTCACACCCTATCGTCGCTTCGATCCGGCAAAACAACCCCGACGCTCGGCTTGCAGCCTGCCGAGTGAGAATAGGATTCCCTTTGAAACAGGCACTACAATACTGGACCCTATATCAACAATACAGGAAGAACGCCCGCCCTCTACTGATGATGGAACGTTATCTACTGGCGCGGTGTCCACTATGGGAGGGGTGCTATCACGGCCAAAAAAGTCTCTTCTATACCCAGCGACAGCGTGACAGAGCTTTACATAGATCTATTTCTTTTCCTGTTGACGAAGAAATAATTTGTGAACAATCTGTGAGTGTTGGCTAGGGAATTTGATTTCGAATGCTATTATGGGGTGACCTCATTGATTGCTATATCGATCGGGTACTTGAAATCCCAAGACGCTGAAGATAAAATTGATGTGATTGTGTGCCGAGTGCTTCCTAGTACAAGGCTTGTATTTACATGTGCTGTCGCTGTGACCCTTCGCCCGCTGCCGCCTCCTGTCATATGACCAACAGACATTATAGCAAAGATCCGCCAGCTGGGAGGCGCGAACCGCGAGCTGGGGATGAGCTCCGCCGTACTCGGGTCCGGCTGGGCGACACGCGCAGCGATAGCGGTCGATTCCAGACAAAGTCCCGTGGGCTTCAGAGTGAGCTTGACGCCAGCTCACACCGAGCCAGTCGGCTAGAGACTGAATTGACGCATGTCAGAGGGGGAATCACGGAGGCGATGAAGGCGTTGCAAGGCCATAAGGGCCAGAACAGTAGCGCTATACATTCGTCAGGGCCATCTCCCGAAAGCGTTCACAAACTAGACTGCCCTCCCACTCACCAATTCTGACAACCCCGGACCTTAGCCTCACAGATCTGACTCGAGGTCATTAGTAGTGGTGTACTCTAGACACGGGAATT